CTCTTATCTCTCTCTATAGCCTGGGGCTGGCCTCAAACGCATAGTGATCCTCCTGCCTCAGCCTCCCAAGTGCTAGGATCCTAGGGCTGCGCCACCACCCCAGCCCATCATTTCTTCTTAGCTCTCCTCCTAGATCCAGGAGGGGAACAACTTCCTTGCATTCCTACCTCCCCTCCCTGTGCCGCTTTACTCCTTTTATTTCTGAAAATGCCCTCCAAGTTGCCAAAAGGGACCCGGTGTCTCCTGTAGAGCTCATCTGGGCAGGGACGGGGCCCGAGGCTCCCTGCCCTGCCACCGGGATGGACAAGAAGCAGAAAGACGCACTGGGCATCTCCAGAGGTCAGAGCACAGGGCCTTCACTTCATGCAGAAAAGGGAGAAGAGAAGGAGGTGCAGGGCCCAGCAGGAACTGAGTAAAAGACCTTGGGAGGACACTGGAGCTGCAGACCCACTGCCAAGACCTAGGCGGGGTGCGGATCAGCAGAGGCCAGACATGGTGGGCATATCTGGGATCCCAGGACTGGGGCGACTGAGGCAGGAGAATCGCTGTGAGATCGAGATCAGCCTGGGCTATATAGTGAGACTGATTATAATTTCCATAATAATAAATATAATAATAATAATTAATGATAATAATAATAAAAAAGCAACAGAGCACCAGAAGTCTTGAGAAGACATAGATGTGGATTCAGAACAGGGGCCAGGTTCTCACGGTCAGGGAGAGCTATGAGGAGTGTGCCCTCATTCTCAGAGCAACCGCAGCACCACAAAGCCCAAACCCAAACCCAAACCCCAACCATCCATTCCTGTCAGTTTCTTTTTCTGGTACCGGGGATCGGCTCACGACCCCCCTGAGCTACATCCCTGAGTTTCTCCTAGGGAGTATCCTGGACTTTTTCCAATTCCTAAGTGAGAGCAACACCGCGTCCGGTCCACAGGGGGGCAGTAGAGGGCAGGGCCGAGAGGCTCAGGCTCGGTCCCCAGGGGCCGCTTGGGCTACCACTGGGGACACGGGGTGGGATTCAGCCCGGGAGCCGGCTGGCGCCTGTGTGTCCTACCGCTCTGTTGATGTGCTTCCGGACCAGGAGGTACAGCACGGGCAGCGTGACGTAGGCCAGCATCTCCCACAGCTTCCCGGTCAACAGCATCCACAGCACGCGGTCCTCCGCCTCCAGGTCCACCCAGCACCAGCCCACAGACACATCCGAGGCGTCGTAGCCGATCTTCTTGAGGGCGACAGCCACCGCGGTGATGGTCAGCGGGATGCCCCAGCTGGGGAGCGACAGGGAGAGGGCGGTGCTGAGGGCTGGCCACTGGCCCCAGCGGCGTCAGCGGGGGCAACACGACATGGATAGGGTCCCCGGAAGATGAAACGAGAAGGGGCCGGCCCGGGCGTGGGGGCACAGGCCCGTCCTCCCAGCACTCTGGGAGGCTGAGGCAGGAGGATCACAAGTCCAAGGCCAGCCTAAGCAACTTAGCTAGACCCTGTCTCTACATTAAAAAAGAAAAGGGCTGGGGGTGTCGCTCAGCGGCACAGCGCTTGCCTGGCAGATACGAGGCCCAGGGTTCCAGCCCCAGCACCACGGGGAAAGGAGAAAAGAGCGGGGACTTAGAAGCAGCCGGCCCGGGGTCCGAGTCAGGTCTCCGCTCCTCAGGGCAGGTTTCTCAGCCCCGGGTGTTTTCTCGCACAGCGAGGGTGACACAGAACCCACAGCAGTGTCGCCGCGGGGCCACGAGGGAACAGACGGATGACCGAGGGAAATCCGAGGCTGCTGCTCTCCTCACAGCTGGCGGTGCTCGGCCGGATGCTTCCGTCAGCTCTGCTCTGGGTGACACCTCTGACATATGGGGCATTCTGAGGCCACCTGACCCACCAGCCCTGCACTTGGGGGTGTGCAAGTCACCTGCAGGGCCACCTTTGACTGCAGGGCCAGAATCCCTGGGGCTCCAGACCGCCACACCTGTGCAGAGCTTCTGGGAGGCAGATTTGAGTCATGGGGCTCCCGCCGTGAATAAGGTCCCCTCTCGCACAGTTCGTGCTTGCAGTGACGCAGTGATTGGCACACTGCGCCCGGCAGACCGATCCTCTCTGCACAGCCCCCGCAAGGCTGCTCATTGGGTAAGTTCATATGAATCAGTGCTAATGCTTTTTTTTTTTTTGGTACTGGGGATCAAACTCCAGTCCTTGTGCTTTTCTCTCCCTCTCTGTCTCTCTCTCTTGTTTTTTGAGACAGGATCTCACTATGTAGTTGAGACTGACCTGAAACTCACTGTGTAGTTCAGGCTGGTCTCAAACTCACTGCAATCCTCCTGCCTCAGCCTCCCAAGTGCTGGGATTACAGGTATGCACCACCATGCCCGGCTCCTTCCTTCCTTCTTGTTCCAGACAGCACAGCACCTCCTCTCATTGCCTCCCCTTTAAATCCTCAGCTTCCAGCTTCCTGTCTTTCCCAAGGGATGTCATCTGTGCAACTGCAGAGGTAGGGTCTCTCTCTTTCCCTCTCTGGCTCTGGGAATTAAACCCAAGGCTTCATATATCCCAGGCAGCTCTACTGCTGAGCTATATCCCCAGCCCTTTAATTTTGCTTACAGACAGGGACTGCTGAGTAGTTCAGACTGGGCTCAAATTTTTGATCCTCCTGCCTCAGCCTCTTGAGCAGCCAGGATTACAGACCTGTCACACCATGCATGGTGTGCTCAGCTGGTCATTTTATTTATTTATTTAAATTTATTTTACAATACTTAGACTAGATTAGGATTTAGGAAACCGTAGCCCTCAGGCCAAATCAAGCCCAAGGTCCATTTTGTTGTTGCTGTTTTGTTTTTAATTAATTAATGTTTTTATTATTATTATTATTATTATTATTATTATTATTATTTGGTTTTGGTCTTTTGAGACTGGGTCTCCCTACATACTCTAGGCTGGGCTTGAGCTCACTATATGGCCCAGGCTGGCCTCAAATTCTAAGTAACCTTCGTGCTTCAGGCTCCCAAGTTCTGGGATTACAGGTGTGCACCGTGAGGCCCCTCCAAGGCCTGTGTTTTATGACAAAGTTTCACTGCCATCCAGCCACCCCTCTCGTTTGCTTATTGCCCAAGGTTGTGCTGTTAGTGGAGTTGGGCGGTGTCCACCAAGGAGGCAAAGTCCAAAAAGCCGAGAACAGTATTTGACCATCCCAGAAGTCGCTGATCTCTGCCAGGCACAGGCCATACCCTGGTTGTCCTGTGTGCCACTCCCACGGGTGATGACAGTCTTGCCACGGCCAACGACATCTGTGGCAGGGACAAACTCTGTGACCACCTTGTGGCGTTTCCACCTCCAGGAAGAAACCTGGAGCACACAGCACAGAATGGTACCTGGCCAGCCTGGAGAGCTCGCTGCTTTTATTTCAACGTGATTTCATTGTCAGCACTGGCGAGGTCTTACTGTTGGCCCCTACCCTGCGGCAGCTGGGTCTTGCAGACCTGCTCCAGGGCACACTGGGCAGAGAACAGGAAGGGGCGGAAGGTGCCAGGGTCGCAACCACCGGGCTTGGAGCAAGCAGTGCCTGGGACTCTGAGGGAGCCTAGAAGGTGCGTCGGGAGACGCGTGCAGCACTGTTCCCGCTTCTGGTCCTGGACACTTCTGGTTCTGGCCAGTGCCAAAAAGGAAGCCAGCAGCCCGCAGTGCAGTCAGACATGGCTCACTTGTGTGTGTGGAAGCGACCAGGCGGTTACCGGATCAGAGCCCAGAAGCTGCTGCGGTCGGGGGAGGGGGGTTCGGCCCTGAGGCCCGGATGTGAGCAGTTCTGGTTGAGGACAGCGGCCTGTGGACCCCTGAGATCCATACTCCACACCAGAGATGGGGCCTTGAGCTGTCCTCAAGTGTCCAGAGACCCTGAATCTGCCTCGCAGTGGGGTCCACTTAGGAGGGTGGATGGGAGACAGGGATGCGGGCAAAGCCTGTGGCGGACGAGGTCCCTCCTCCCCACACCTGTGACACCGAGGCGGCAGGCGTGCCAGGGCCAGGGACCTTGCTGGAGGACGCCTGGAGCCCCACACCGGGCAGGTCCCCTGGGAAAGTGACACCCACTGCTTCTCCTAGGGGCAGGGCCCCAGCCGGCTTCCTCCCCTCTTGAGGTGGTTACAGGCTGAGCTGAGTGTCCCCTGAAAATTATCTGTTGAAATTCCAAACCTCAGAACCTGAGACTGTGACTGTATTTGGAGACTGGGACTTCCAAGAAATAATTAAATTAAAGTGGGGTCATTAGCCAGGTGGGGGGTAGGGATGCCCACTTATAATCCCAGCGCTTGAGGCTGAGGCAGGAGGACTGCCATGACTTCAAGTCCAGGCTGCGCTCCATAGCGATACTCTGTACCAAAAACTAGAACATAAACTAAAACGAGTCCAGTAGTGTGAGCCCAATCCCAGAGGTCTGGCACCCTCACCGAGAGAGAGACGCCTGCAGAGGGACAATGTGTGACACGACTGGGAGAAGAGGCCAGGTACAGCCGAGGAGGGCGGCCTCTGGGACACCAGGCCTGCCCACGCCTCACCTTGGGCTCAGCCTCCAAGCTGGGCAGGCAGATCCCTGCTGCCCGGGGACCAAACCCACAGCCTGCTCCTGTGTGGGGCCCTGGCTGGGCTGTGTCAGGCCCCGAGGAGCAGGTTCAAGAGGGGAATCCCCTCCCCACCACATCCCCTGGGGGAAGGGAACCAGACACCAGGGGGATTTGCACAAGCGCTGCCTTCTTTCTCAGAGCTGTGTGCCCTTTAGGTTAAACTAAAGGATTTGGGGAAGGGGAACTAAAAGCCCATCAGTCACTGCACCCGACTCCCAGAGCTCCCAGCGCACCTGGGACACACGCCTGTCCCCGGACAGCAATGTTCAGGGTCCTCCGGCCCTGCTGTGCCCACCTGGGGACCTGGTGTGCCCAGGCAGGGCGGGGTCTTGCGAGGGCTCTGCTGGAAAGCGCCCTGCTGGTCTCTGGAGACCCTGCCCCTGCCCTCCCTGCTCAGTTGGGCTTGGAGGACAGATCCCCGCCAGCGTGCTGCAGGGCTCCCGTACGGTGAGGAGGGAGGGCCGCTGCCCTGGCACAAGGGTCGCTCATTGTCCAGCGTGTGGGGCAGGGCGCAGGGGCATGGAGCATCCAAGGAGCCAGCCCGGGTCCAGGGCCACAGGGGTCACGAAGAGGGGCCTGAGACAGGGCTGAGACAGTGGCCTTTCCAACGCAGGCACCCTCACCCTGAGGAGCTTCCTGCCACCTGGGCCCCAGGCCCTGTGCCTGGTGTAGGCTCAGGGGGAGCTCTGACCCCTCAGACCCGATGTGCTAGGCTGGGCCTGATGCTCAGGCTGTGACTAGTTGGAAAGGCCCAGCACAGCGCTGGCGTCTGGGGTCCGTCACCCAGGGCAGAAGGCAGCAGGGCAGCTCCAGACAAAGGCTGGGGACCAAGCCTACCCTTTATCTCCGGCCCACTCCTGCCGTAACTGACCCTTACCGCACATTTATCCCTTCACCATGATTCCTGCCCCGTCAACTCTTTTTTTGAACTCACTCGTGGTGATCCTCCTGCCTCAGCCTCTCTAGTGCTGAGATCACAGGCATGCGCCTCCACGCCCGGCACGCCAGTCAGCTCTTAACACTGCTCTGATGGAGGTTACAACTGCAGCAGGAACTTTGGTAGTGGGGGCGCCATCAGGCCACAGCAGGGACAGCCCCAAGACCCAGCCCTGCGCTAGGCCTCACAGAACCTTTCCTCTCACCTCCTGTTTCCCCTTTTCGCCTAAGTCGGGGCTTCCCGCCCCGAGGCTGGCGTTGCGGTTGGCCTGGGGTGGGGGTGGGGGTGAGGCTCTCCCTGGAAGCCCAAACCAGCTCCGACTGCGACTGCGCGAGGGGTGTGGGCGGACCCTGCCCTCCGATGAGGCCAGAAGGACACACGAAGGCTGAAGCCGGGCACCTGGGGAGCAGGGCAGTCACCTCGCCCCCGCTGACCTGGACCCTGTGCTGGCATCGCTGGGGGCGCTTTGCGGAGGAGGCAGGGACAGTTCCACGGTCTCCGGAGGCCCCGCCCACTGCTGCTGCAGCCCCTCCCTCCGCCGGGGGAGGTGAAGGCTGTGCAATGGACTGCAAATGAGCTGAACAGTAGCTGTGCAGGGAGAGAGCTGCTCAGGGTCAGTGACTGTCCCCAGTAAGGGAACAAGATCGAAGAGGCCACCAGTGAGAGCGGTTCTGGGACCCGCCTGCCAGGAGTGCAGGACCTGAAACCGAGCAGGAGGAAGCAGCGAGATGAAGAACAAACTGCTCTTTGAAAATACCAGCTTTGGGGCTGGGGCAGCTCGGTGGTGGGGAGCTTGCTAGTACCTGGAAGCCCTGGGTTCTGTCTCCCGCACAGCAGGGAGGAAAAAAAAAGTCAGTGTTAGAAATTTATCTTTCGGTTTTTTGTTTTTGTTTTTTGAGACGGGGTCTTGCTATGTAGTTCAGGCTGGTCTTGAACTTGCAGCGATCCTCCTGCCTCAGCCTCCCGGGTGCCGAGACGATAGGTGTGCCTCACCATATCCAGCTAAACTTGCCTTCTGGAAATACACACAGCAGTCTGTATCGTGTCTACTACTCTTCTGTAGCTCCAGAAAACAAATAACTGCAGAGGATAAAGCTAACATGGGAAATGTTAACATCTGGGAAATCTGGATAGCCAAACATAAATGGTTGTTGATTACTGTGTGTGTGTATGTGTGTATGTGTTGCTTGGGATGGAACCCAGGGCCCCAAGTAGGCAAGGCAAGAGTTCTACCACTGAGATACATCTCCAGTAATTAATCTTAATTTTTAAAAAAATGTCAATGCCTGGTGATACACACCTGTAATTGAAGCCCAGGGGAGGCTGAGGCAGGAGGGCCACTGAGAGTTCAAGTCCCACCTGGGCCAGCCTGAACTACATGGTGAGAACCCTGTTTCTTTTTCTTTTCTTTTTTTAAAATCAAGGCTAAGGAGCAAGATAGAAGGTGCAGGCCTGTCACTGGCCGAGGCAGGAGGGTCACAAGTTCAAGCCTAAACCTAGGCAACTTAGCCACTTAGTGTCTCCAAATAACAAATTTAAGAAAGAGCTGGGCATGTAGCTCAGTGTGAAGACCCTGGGTTCAACCCTCGGTACTGCGAAACTAAAACCCAAACTATCTACGACTTGGTTCACAGTCAGCAATTCATAGCTGATGACATTTCAGAAGGGAGTGTGGCTTCTGCCTCTTCTGAGGTCACCCAGGATCCCCACTATGATTTTGGTCTCTTTGTGCATACACTCCGTGTGCTTGGACGGTTCCCTTACAGTCGGCCTGGTAAATAGGATTACTGGATCAGGGGGTAGGAACCAAGTACTTTCTACAAGGATTACTTCAACTTGCAGTGCCAGTGGCAATGCAGAAAAGTATCAATTTCATGAGTGTTTTTCACATGAATATTTTTACTTTTTTCTTCTAATTTAATGAGAAGATGGTACCCCACTGTTATAATTTGTATTATTATTTTGAGTAATAAAAGGGCTAAGCCTTTTCCCTATGTTTACTCAACTGCTTTTACTATTTCGCTGAATGTATCCTTTGGCCATTTTTCAGGATCTCTGTGTGGGGGGGTATTTTTTGGTACCAGGGCTCGAACTCAGGACCTTGTGCCAGTGAGGCAGGCACAGTGTGGTGCATGCCTGTAATGCCAGCACTCAGGGAGGCTGGATCACTAATGTCTGGGGTCAGCCTGGGCTATGAATTGAGTTCCAGGCCAGCCTAAACTACATAGCAGGATCTTGTGTACAAAACCAAACCAAACCAAACCAAACCACAGTTCTCCAAGACTGGAAGGTTGGAAGAAAAAGACTGATGTCCAGTAGTCTGAAATGACCAAACAATGGATGACTGGGCCCACAGCAACATTCCTCAGGAACTGTAACTGCTACTCCCAAGAATGGCACTGAACAAGGTCCTTAGCCACACAGCTGGGAGGATCTGGGTCAAGCAATGAACCCGTCAGACAGGTTTGACCAGTTCCTCTAAGTGCAGCTTTTCCAGGAGGAAGCCTCCCTAAGCATCACAGAAAACCTCCCCTGATCATCAGGGTCTTGAGGAGAAATGAACAGAAAGAACTCCCAGGTAGGATCTGTTGGGAAATCTCTCTTCTAGAGGAACTGCTTTTCGCCAGGCTGTGTGTCACTGGTGACATAGTACATTGCAATAACGTTTTTTATTTTTATTTATTTATTTCGGTACCGGGGATTGAACTCGGGTTCTCGCGCTTGCAAGGCGGGCCACCGAACCGCTGAGCTAAATCCCCGGCCCGCAATAACATTTTTTAAAGAGAAAAAGGGAAAGAGAGGGGTCTTGACAAAGCAACGTACACCCTGGGCTCTTCTATACCCAGGAATCCCCCGTTTAGAGGGCTCTGGGTGGCCATGCTGGGGGCTGGGGCAGGAGGAAAGCCGGCTTCTCTCTACCCCCTCTCCTCTGAATTGGGGCTACTACTTGAGTAACACAGAACAGAGATTTGGACTCAGACAGCTGAGACGCAGGTCTCTTAGTTTCTCAGGGACCAAGTGGCCTCTGTCCAGTGGCTACCGGAGCCAGAGGTCAAGTGACTCCCAGCTCATTATCCCAGCATGACACCCAGGTGACCTGTGGCCACCAAAGTGCTGACGCTCTGCTCAGTCCTTGGAGATCGCTCAAGTTTTTAATAGAAAGGACCTATAATTAGGGCAGCCGGGGGTGCTCGGCTTTCCGGGAGGAGAGAAGGAAGCAGCCCTAGGACTCTCAGAAGGAGCCTCCCACAGCCTGGAATCCACGGGCCCTGCCTAGGGCTGCCTGGCCAAGATGCCCTTCCGGACCAGCCCTTTGCCCCAGACTTCAGAGCTCCTGAATTCTAGAGAGCAAATGAAGATCACCTAGAACCTAGAAACACAGGTGCCTAAGGCTGGAGTGGCGCACACCTGTAATCTCAGCACTCGGGAAGCTGAGGTAGGAGGATCGCCAAGAGTTCAAACCCCACCTGAACTACACAGCCAGACTCTGTCTCAGACAAACACTGAAAGGAAACCTCTGCAAGTCTTACAGTCCAGATAACTCAACCTGAGAGGTGGTGCATGTGCCCGCTGTGGCATGGGGCAGGGAGCTGTGGGCTCTCGGCCCAGGGTGCCAGACGGGGGGGCCAGGCCACCTCTCTGTGGGCAGCAGAGATGACCGGACAGTGAAACAGGTGCCTCGGGCAGTGTCATCCCGGTGACTTCCTGAGCTCAGCCCCTCCTCGCTGGGGGCCCGGGCTGGAGTCACGAA